ATAGACGAGCCTGCTATAGTTGCATTTTTTTGCATGTGTGGCATTAGCATTTCCGTATAATTAGGGATCTGTATGGATTCTAATTAGCTTCTGTTTGGCTGAGTAATCGATAATTTTATGGCTTTAGCATGCCTTGCATGCGTGTGAGTGAACTCCATGAAGCATGCTCTACCATGAGGCCTAAATTGCTTATTTGATATAACTGCCTGAAGCCTGTGGGTGAAGGTTGGGTTATTTGATTGGAACAATTCATTCACTGGTGTTTTTAAGCCCACTGATAGACACAAATCATGTTTCTAAGCCCATCCTGGAGGTGGCAAATCCACGTCTCTCAGCCTGACTTGTGGGTAGCACCATCAAACCTTTTCACATAACAACATGAAGTTTTGTTCCAATTCAGGTGATCCAGTCTAGTTACTTGTCAGCTGGCGCTCACATAGTAAATCTCAGGCTATAACCGAAATAGAACAACATGTTTTCAAACTTGATATCGATGGTTAGCTAGGGCCGATCTTTGGAATGGGCGAGCGGGGGTGCCGAAGTAGACTTCCCCAATCGTCCAAACTTCCGACCGAGGTAACTTTGGTAATGACGGCACGTGGGCCTTAGGCAAACTTACAGGAAAATGAACAAACAAGAGACAAATGAAAATAAGAGTATGAGTCGTTGTTTCTAAATTTCCCAAAATAAAAATATTTAGGTGGCGACTCTGTAATCTGGCAAAGCAGTCCATGTTTTGGCATTTTCTCCTTTCAAAAATCTGTTTTCTCAATAACTGATTTGCCGGATTATGGACTTACTTTGGTTTCAGACTAAGACCGTGACAATTTTAGAGTCGTCGAACTGTAGTGAGCCCAATATTCGAACAAAACGGGGGAGCTCGTCCTCCCGAGGGCGTCTTGGGGACGTTCTTACAACTACTCCACCTAACAATCAACTTATGTGCCGCTTACAGTGTCGATATTTAGACATCATGGCTCATTAACAGACACAGTGTATTTCAGAATGAAACGCTAATTAGGCCATAAACCACAATTTAGTTAATACAAAAGTAAAGTTCCATAACTTGTGCATCGCTAGTAGACCAAGTCATGAGTACCCTCGGTGTAAAGTGCAATCTCATATTAGTAACTATCCACTAAAATAGCCAGTGTATACTCATAATAACACCCATCATATACAGATAAAAACCAACCTGTTGCAGCAAGATTTTCGAGTGTTGTTGTTGTTGTTGTTGTTTTTTTTTTTTTTAATGCACTGTGCATGTCTGATCCATAAGCTTCTAATAACCTGTAACAAGCATTGGGTCAATGACTCCCAAACCAAGACGGTTTAGGGCACTAGGTGTAAAGACACCGGGGCTTAATAACTCGAGTTGACAAGGCTACGAAATCCGAACAAGTCATTCTTCTATTTTTCTTAACTGTGCACAGTGGTCCAATCCCTTAAGCTTTCTAATTAACCCATGTAACATGTTTTGGGCCAATGACTCCCAAACCAGACGGTTTTAGGGCATTAGGTGTAGAGACACCCCTACGGGCTTAATAACTCGAGTTAAAAAGGCTACGGACCCAAACTAGTCAAGTGGTCTTCTTCTTTTTATTATTATTATTATTATTATTATTTAAGAATCTTGGCTCCTCATTTATTCTTTTCTGCAACTCTAGCTATTATCAATGATGTACACCAGGAATTATAATAAAAAGATCACTGCTATGATAGTGTGTTCATGTGAATTAAGGCCTACTCATGACAAGTGTACAAATACCACAAACATAGACAACTCTCCATGTGAAAACATGGCTTGCAAGTATCTACCCAATAAACCCTTTTCATACAAGTCTACTATGCTCTCTAATTAACATATGCAAATTTCATCACTCTACTAGCAAAAAGTCACATTAAGTGAAGTAATGCAATCAAGTGAAACAGGTATAAGCATGAATTATGAGCCAAATAGAAATGCACAAAAGAAAATATAACCCTCTCATCCCCCAACTTGAATATAACATTGTCCTCAATGGAAAAGGAAAGAGAAATGAGAGAAAATTACCAGAATTGTAGGTGCACATCCAGGTAGGCAGAGAGTAACATATACACACTTCATTTTTTTTTTTTTTTGGTTTTTTGTTTTTTTGAAGAAAAGAAAGAATTAAATAAATGAATAAAAATGACATTTGTTGTTGAGTTTCATTTTTTGTTTTTTGTTTTTCTTTTTTTTGAAGAAAAGAAAGAACTAAAAAGAAAAAGGAAAATAAAATAAAAATAAAAGAGACAAAGCAGTATACAAGCGGGAACTATGGAGAAGCCGGTGGTGGTGTGTAGACAAGCCCGCGGGGGGACCTCGCTACAGCTCGGACTCGACTTTCGTTAGTCACGGTTCTAAGTCTGAACCAAAGAATCCAAATCCGGCAAATCGTTTTAAGAAAAACAGATTTTTGAAAGAAGTGCCAAACATGGACTGCTTTGCCAGATACAGAGTCGCCACCTAAATATTTTATTTTGGGAAATTTAGGAAACCCTGACTCGGTGCCAAAAGGCCACGCGTCCGTCATCACCAAAGTTGCCTCGGCTCGGGAACTTGGATATGATTGGGGAAGGTCACTTCGTGAGCACCCCCGCTCGCCCGGTCATAGACCGGCCTCTACTAACCACGATATCAATTTTTGAAAACATTGTGAGTTCTTATTCCGGTTATTAGCCTAGGTTACTATGTGATGCGCACAGCATACAAGTATAGACCGGGTCGTCCGAATTGGAACAAAACATTTCATGCTTGTTTTTGAAAATGGTTTGCTACCCGCAGGTAGGCTTGAAACATTTGATGATTTATTCCAATTCAGATAAATGGCAGGTGTACTTAACTAGTTGTTGGTTTTTTGAATATTAAATAGTTTATACATTTTTTTTAACTATTCATTTTTATTGGGAAAATGTACCTCCATTTTAAATGTACGGTTGCACATGTCTTTAATTATCCACTTTCTCAATAGTCCCTTCGATATAATAGATGAGAAGGAAATTAATTTATTGTACAATAGATGATACTAAAGGAAAATAATTTATTGTGCACTTTTGGCAGATACGTGACTCCACCGACTTGTCCCCAATGCTTGAGTGGTAGGATCAATGCAAAATAGGACTGTTCAGGCTTTAATGTTTTTTTAGTAGTGTCTGGCTTAATGAACTAATTAACTTCAAAATCAATTTCACCATTCACTAATAGGAGCTTAATTATAAACTGATTCCAAGAAATTACTTACATTTAGGTGATTTCAAATTTGAAACTATGGAGAAACCACACCTTGACTCAGACTTTGACCACCAGGCTAAACTTTTGGGTTATGTCCAAGTTTCAATGTTGAATGAAACAATGGTTCTTTGATTACATGCCAAGGCACAAAATGTTCTCTCACAATTACAAAAAAGCTACAAATCAAAGAATGATTCCTTGTTTCGATTCCAAGCCACCAAAAAAAAACCCCGTTCCATACAATCTTCAAAGTATTTAAATGTCTCTACACCAAGTTTTGGTGGGTAGTGGTGCCAATCTGTTTTGAATAGACAATGACTGCTCGAGTTGTCTTCTCAGGCCATGCCACAGGACAGATTACACCCTCCAAAGCAATGGTAGGGGCTCTTCGTTTCTTGCCTATGAAAACATGTCCGCTTAAGATTAATAACACGAAGAGTGTAGGGCAGCATATATACATGAAAGCAAGGATATGGAACAAACCCATCAGAGAACGTAGGTTGAAGGTAGTCATGTTATCAGCGAGCAGTGGTGATATTGGGCCTAATCTACTTTCTTCATCTGACTCAATTAAGCAATTCTATACCTCTATCAATGAGAAGAATTTGAACAAACTCCGCGAGTTCATCTCTGATAATTGTTATTTTGACGATTGCTCATTCATCAAACCATTCCAGGGGAAAAAGGTCTTTCTCAATTTCTCCTTTTAAGCATAAACGCAACTATGCTTACTTTCGTGGAAAACGTTTTTTGATTTTTTTTTTTTTTTTTTGCTTTTTTTGACACTTTGTATGACTGAAAATTAAAATTAAAGATTTTTTTTTTTATATATAGAAAATGTTTTCTGCCTAAACAAATGAAGCATTAGTGCTTGTCTACTGATTTGCCAATTACTAGAATAATTTTTGTAAAGCAACATTTTCTTTGCGCCAAGACAAAAGCAACTTTATTGTGTTATTTGCTTCTATGTGCAACTGTAGGAGGTTATGGAGTTCTTTGGGCAACTAATCACGAGCATGGGTCAAAATGTCAAGTTCAAGATAGGACACATGTGCGAGGGAGATGATTTTACAACTGGAGTAACTTGGCATCTTGGTAATTCGATCTCATCTCTCGTTGTCTCAAATGAATTTAACAATGTTGTTTCTCATCAGCACGATAACCATCTTTTTAAGTGATACATAAAACTTGACAATAAATGTGTTCTATTACCATGACAGAATGGAACAAAAAACAGATCCCCTTCACCAGAGGCTGCAGTTTTTATGAATGTTCAATGGAAAACGGAACCAAACTAGTCATCAAGTATTAAATAAAAATCAATTTCAATATTCACCTCAATTTTCTATTACACAATTATAATGGAGCACATTATAATGCAGGAGAGCTCAAGTTCTAATCGAGTCGCCAATGAAACCAGGAGGCTCAGTACTGGTAATTCCACTATGACTCTCCTTAGAACATTATTGAATATTATAAATAACTCCAAAACAGCAAGAAAAGATAGAAAACAAGTAGTGTAGAGATAATACAAAAGCACTAGAATGTATACCTCTTAAAGAGGAATGATCCTTTGAGTTACAAACCACTAATTCACACTTTCAAGTGCCTTAAGAGCTAAAATGCAAGCTTAAATCACCTTAGCAAGGAACTCTTTAGGTTTGGTTTAGAGTGTTTAGGCAAAGGTTATGTAAGTTGCAAGAGAGTGAGAGAGAATTGTAAAGAGAAATTTTCCAAAATTTTGCTGTCTAAAATTTTCTAAATTCCAAAATTTTTCTAACCTCTCTAACAAAATAGAGGGTCATCTATATATAGAAATATATGAGAGACCCTCGAAAATATCCTTACAAACACAACTAGAATGGTGCATGCATCTGTAGAGACAGTTGGCAGAAAATATATGGTTTTTTGCACTAGTGGCCGACAGGCCACATTAGTGGGCGACATGCCACACTAGTGGGTCTGCAGGTCCCTAGATGGTCAGGCCTAAAAAACCACTGTTTTGGACCAAAACAAGGCACAAGGTTTGTAAGTTCAACACTAAGGTTTCCTGCTAGGGAAGTCAAGCATTTGACACGCTTACACATTCATCGTTGAGTGATCAATCAGTGGCGCCCAAGTCTTAAAGGCCGTAAAAAATGGAGTATCTACACTATCTAATCTGAACAATGCTAATTGAACGAGACATAATGCAATTTCAAATGCAAATAAAGCTAATTGTGTAACAATAAGCTTCAATAGAGTGCACTAACCAAATTTCAGTACTCCAAAAATAAATAAATAAAATATTTAGTGCTATGCTAGAGTTTAGAAATACCCCAGACCATCAATCACCCAAATTACACATTACCTTTCATGGACAGCTAGAGCAGAAACACCAGTTTTCTCGATTCTCCATGCTAATTCTACCATAACTTGGGATGATTTTAGAAGTTGAATCTTACATGTTGCTGGTGTAACCAAATTTCACTTTAATGTCGTCAATATTTGGATCAACAGAGAAACAACATAAGGGTTAAAGCATTTAGTTCAAACAATGAACAAAGAAGGAAAAAGAAAAATAGAACTCCATGAATGCCATATACCTCATACATCATGAATAAGCTCCGGCTTAGTCAATAATGCAGCGCCCATTCCGCCACTAGTAGAGAATGATTTTGGGTAACCCATGTCGATATCTACTGCGGGAACATCTTTGCATCTGAAAGAGCAATTACCAAGACAAAACTCTGGATTAAAGGTGGCAAAAAAATAGGCAGTTGCTATTTTGTATAACCATACATACATCTCAGTCCAAATCCATATCTAACCAAATTGTTAGGTTAGACTGTCATGACCCAAACCCGTCCCTATAGGTTTGTTGTTGCCATAACTGGCCAGTAATCCTGGGATTACCAAAGGCATCTGAACAAAACAAACAAAATACAGGGGCTAACGGAAGCAAATACAAACATACAACGTCCATAAAGCTGTGTAGACACACATGAGACAAAAAAATTAGAACTTATATTTACAAACATATGTGACGTCATCAGAGTGTCAGTCTTACATCACCATAATACAGATAAATGCAAAGAAACTATCCAAACAAACAAAAGAAAATAACTTAAACTTGCATCATGTTCACAAAACTCGATCACAAAACATTTCAAAACCTCTTCGGGAGGCACACCGGATGGCTGACTCAAACAGATCTCCAGGCAAACCTCATTGAGTCTCGGAAAGAGGGGGTCAAAAGGGTCAAGTTGCCTTACTGGCCGGCCATGAACTTTTAGGGGCTTAACAGATGTGTAGATCACAGATATGTGGTTCAAAGTTCAAGAAAAAAGGTCCAAGGGGTTCAACATTAGCCCGGAAGAAAGGGGTCAAAAGGGTCAGGTGACCTTAATGGCCGGCCATGAACTTTTAGGGGCCTCCCAGGTGTGTAGATCACAGATATGTGGTTGAAAGTTGGCAACGCTGGCTCTAAGGTATTCAACATTAGCCCGGAAGTTGGAAAAACGGGCGCCGGGAGGCTCCGGAGGAGAGATAACTGGTTGCTACAACAATTACTAGCCTCCCACCCTCCAGTGACCTTCCTTGTGATAAAACAGAGGTACCTGCCAAAAATGAGCGAAAACCGTTGCAAAACGAATGTTCCGGGGCCAAAACACGCAGTTCGAGGTCCCAAAAATGGGCTGTTAAGCACCGAAAATGGTATTCGACCTCGAAGTGGGTTTTTTGAACCCCAGTGTCCCTCAAAAGGGAGCAAATAGGATGTATGCCAAAAACCGGAGCAAAAGGAGATGGTTAAGCGGTCCCGAACCGAGGCACACGGCCTGACGGCCCCGAAAATAAAAAACCGGGCTCCGAAATGGACAAAATGGTCTACAGCCACCAAATATAGCCCACGGCCACTGAGAGATGGTCTACGGGACCTCTCCCTCCCCTCTGGAAAAGAAACAGAGAAAAACGAGTCTGGTTCGCAAACCGAGACAAGGTACAGAAGAGGGTTCGAAAATCCGGAGGCGGGGCTCGCAGCCAAGACTCTGAAACTTCTGAACGAGCACATTATGCAATATCACCAAGTGCTCAACTGGTGACGTCTGAGTCTCAAGGTCGGTCAAAAATGGGGTGTCTACAGTTGCCCCTCTTTGACAGAACTCGGAAGTCACAAGTGACGGGAGTGAATGTCAAAGCCCAGAGACGACCCATTTTTGACAAGGCCGAAGACTTAGACAAACATACAAGATAAACAGAGATGTGCCCGCAGGCATGCCCGCAGGCAAAGGGGGGCAAAATGCAAAATGATATGCAAGAAGATTTTGAAGATTGGACTTATACGCTACGCGAAACCGGTTTTGAAAGGTGGACTTATACGCTACGCGAAGCCGGTTTGAAGATTGGACTTATACGCTACGCGAAGTCGATTTGAAAGTTGGACTTATACGCTAAGCGAAGCCGGTTTGAAAGTTGGACTTATACGCTACGCGAAGCCGATTTGAAAGTTGGGGATTCATGCAATGCACTGTAACGTAGTGGCTAAAATGCAATGTAATAGCTAAAAGGTAAAGGTACCTTACAGGGGCAATCGGCAATGATTTACCTCATGCTACTGGGGATCTTTCGTTTCTTCTTGGTTGAACCGCAGGTACAACTTTTCTCCCTGACCATGGTCGCAGCTTTTCCTATTCTGCAACGGGGTGACAGACTAGGCTTTGTTTCAGTATCGACAGAATTGAGGTGCATACACTGGCTATCTCAAGCCCTATGGGACTTCGAATCCACCGGAGCGAGATTAACATGATTTATGAAAGCCGAGGAACACGCCTCTGTTGGTTTTAAACCAACGTTTAAGTCACGGAAAATCCCGCAACCTTTGGTGGTTCTTCTACAAGAGGGCAGAGCCATTCGATACTCTAGTTTCACGGCCGGTCGCAGTTTGGTTCTCGCTAGGAACCTCAACTGCACTAACACACAGCAGATGTTGGTGGCTAAATACACGGCGGCCACCGGAAGTCCCGTTCGAGCAACGAACAAACACCCAAAGG